AGAGAGAGAGAGAGAGAGAGAAACTGATATAATCAAAAAGAATCACCGTCATATACACTGGCCATATTCTCATCGACTGTATTTATTGCTCAATATGGCTCTCAATGTCACGTTAAAATACTATCATCTGCTAAAAACAACAATCTTAACTCATCTCAATAACATTTTCTTCTTTTTATGAATATTTTTTAAAACAAATATAATAATTTTAACAATAAATTTCTCATTAAACTCTTCAGCATTTCCACATATCTTAATGTTCCTCAAAAGATTAATCCTATATCGCTCACCAATCTTTATGTTCTTCAAGTAATTAGAAAAATAAATGCTACGAGACTTTACCTTCTTTTATGTTAAATAATTTTATGTAAAACTTATTTAATGATTATAAGAGTAATCTCACAAATACTTATAATAATATAAAAGAAGAAATGTGATTCAACATGAAATTGCTTATATCGCAATTATGGGTTTTGGTAGATTGATCACAGATGATTTGAAACTATTTTAGTTTTTCATGCCTTGAAATATTTATATAAAAAGAATTGTATGCTATTCTCGTGATTCTTACGATTCAGGGAATTTCCTTGTCGTTCGCGTCACTTAGTCATTCATAAATTCTTATGTCACGAGCAATTACTTCGTTTAATCGTTTTCGCTTGGAAAAAAATATATAAAAAGAGGAAAAGCTACCTCTTGTGCGATCTGAAAAATGAAACAAACAGACTACACTGCAAGGATGCTTTATACATGATACGTGATCGCCATGGTAACGAGTACCGAACAAAGAATTTACCAGCGATTCCTACAGCATTTCAACACCATCGGATTGTTCAGCTCGTAAAGTGCTAACTAACTGGACAAATGTAAATTAGATTATGTAAAATTTAATTTTGATTTTAATTAAGATTAAGTTTTATCTAACTTTATCTAAATCTATCTATTCTTAATCAACAAAATTCGTGCGGTTTTGTTAATATTGTTAATAAATTCCACAAAAAACCGCGCAAACTTTGCTGATTACTCAATAATTTTTAACTATAGTTTTTTAGCATTTAAATCGGATTCATTATCGTCTTAATTTTAATTTCAATCTCTAGTAGTAATGTCTATTTTATATAAATTTTATATAAAAAATTTGATCCTCGTTTTTATTGAATAAATAAAAAATTCTAATAACAGCATCGTTGCGCTTATCATTAATACTACTAAAAGTTACGTTATAATTGATTGCCTATCAATTGTTTCCTTGCAAAAGAGCATATTCGATATTATGAAACGCTTTGCCATGGTGTGCCGAAATATGCGCGATTATCCCATTTTCGCAAGCGAAAATGCCGTTTGTCACGCGAGCCTTCGTCACACTTTAATTTCAATCAAGAAAGCCGGATGCCCTATGACGTCACGGTGCCGATTTTGCCGGCTGCTTTCACTCGTTCCTAGCCTCCGATTTCCGATCGAGAAATAAGAGAAATAACATACCGAGTGCCATCCCGAAGGAAGGAAATTGTGAAGGAACTACGTCGTTGCATAATTTTAAACAGAAACCCTGAAATATCCTGTAGCCGGCACTCCGCGCAACACAATCGGATAGAAAATGATTTCCATTTTATTCACTGCATTTCTAAAGGACAGAGATAAAAATCTAAAAATTAAAAAATACATCCTTGGAGGAATCCTTGATTGTTTGACGGCCAGGTTTTTTTTAGCTAAAATTAACCACCACTAAAAGGATTACAACTAGTCACGATAATATACGATCGGTTTCTCGATATGGCGACTGGTTCACGCGGTGGGACACGGTCTAAAAACTCGCATAAATTACAAGCTATTGTTGCGGCCGGAGTATTATTCAGGCGCGTTATGAAACGTTGAAAAAAATAGCAGGCGTCCACATTTCTTCCGTTGTTTCGGTCTTTACATCTACATGATTCCCCGTCGACGCTTTCTCCGTTGCGCCGCGCGAGAAAGTCTTTTCCCTCGACCGAATATTCGAGGAAATGATGTCAGAGCGTGCATTTCGTTCACACGGAACATCCTCAATCTTTTGCTCCATATCTCGGCATCCAGAACAAAAATCAATAATAAGCAATCGTCAAACAATAAATTAATTTCTCAATTACGCAATTATCGTACAGCAAGGTTGCTAAAAATATTTTTCTCTGTTTATATTGTTTTTTCCACTTTTCAGACGATACCGTTGCTGCTGGCAATCGGCGAGATTTCGGCGCAATGTCTAACGGGAAACGACGTCCCGTCGACCCAGGACCCAGCGTCAAAAATGTCATTGACAGACGCTCGTTTCGGCTTTGCGCTGGACAGCATGAAAAAGGTCGCGCAGCATGAGACGAGAGACAACATCTTCTTCAGTCCGCAAAGCATACACCAGGCCCTGAGCCTGGCGTACTTTGGTACCCGCGGTACCACCGAGGAGGCCTTGAAGCAGGCCCTCCGCATCCCTAATGAGCTGTCCAAAGTCGACGTACAACGCTACTACGCGTACGAGAAATCGCTCAATGAGATGCGTTCCCAGGTGAGCAATTCCGGCGCAGTTGTGCAATGCGCGCGATTTACTACGTCGTCGCCGAAGGTATGTCAAGGCAAATCGTGCGCGGTCTATCGTTACATCAACGCGTCTGAATATCCAAGGTCCTTATAAACGTTGCTCCAAAATCGCAAATGCTTGGAAGACTCTAGGAGAACTCTTTTTCGCTTTATACAAAATATGTTTAGATATATCGTCGATTATATTTTAGATATCACAAAGATTTATTATCCTAAAGATTGAGAAAATATTCTAAAGAGGCTGCAAAATTGTGCGACCAGACTCGAATAATATAATGCAAATCAAGATTGAAGAATTAAAAATTTCGTAAATTGTTTATAAGCAATTTCCTTAGTTTTTAATTAATTAATCAATTGATGTTTTTCGTTCCAGATGAATGGATCCGCTCAGTCCTACGAGTACAAAGTCGCCAACAGATTTTGGATTACAAATTCGAAGAAACTGCGCGAATGCATGCTCGATTTCTTCGGCGATCAGTTGCAAGTGACCGACTTCCGTACGAATCCCGAAGAGGTGCGGAATCGTATCAACAATTGGGTCAGTAACATGACGAAGAACCATATCCGCGATCTCCTGCCACCAGACAGCATTACTGAGGACACCGATCTAGTTTTGGCTAACGCAGTTTATTTCAAAGGCCTGTGGGCTCAGCGTTTCGACCCTAAGAGTTCTAAGCGCGATATCTTTTACTCTTCCGGCACGCAAAACTCCGTTATCACCTTCATGCGTCAGAAAGGAAATTTCAATCATGGTAAGCGAACCGTTTCAATCTCATTTCATTTACTTATCGCTAAATGCAATGACTAAACCTGACTCGACTAAACCACGATGATATGAATTTTTTCATTGATTAATTGCAAATCATTTATCGCAGTGTTTGAATTTAAAAAATCTTGATATAAAATTAACACATCATACGCAACAATCTGATATTTCAATCTTCATCGTTCATCCACATCTCTTTTCTTTCTTGTTTTCTAATTTTTAAATTTATCTCCTCAGTTGTCTCCGACGAACTAGGCGTCTACATTTTGGAGTTGCCTTACAAAGGCGACGAGATATCGATGTTCGTGCTACTCCCACCGTTCTCCGTCGCGCGATCCGCTCAGAATCCTTCGGATGAGCCCCGCGACGGCATTCGCCAATTGGTGGAACGATTAGCGACCAAAAGGGGATCTCAGGAGCTTCGCAAGTGGCTTGACGACGGGATGCTGACGCAGGAGGTCGAATTGAGTCTGCCACGCTTCGAAATCGAACGCGAACTGCCCATCGGACATCTACTGCACGCTCTAGGCGCTGGAGAATTGTTGTCGCCCGCTGCAGCCGATCTGCGCGGCTTCGTCGCCGATGGTGAGCAGAGTCTGCATCTCGGCGATGCCGTGCATCGCGCACGCATTGAAGTCACGGAGGAGGGTACCACCGCGGCCGCAGCCACCGCGATCTTCTCCTTCCGCTCCAGTCGACCCATCGAGCCTGTCATCTTCAATGCCAATCATCCGTTCATCTATCTGATTTATGATAAGCAAAGTCACAGTATTCTGTTCACGGGCATTTTCCGCACACCCGGTGCACCTCAAACCTCCGCTGCCGTTTAGGCAGATCGCGCGGGAAAGCGCGATCTCTTTCCCGTGAAAAGTCTTTCGGATGACGTACATAATCCGAGAATTTGGCAGAAACTGACGAATTGTCGTCAAGTTTATTCTCTTCCTCTTGATCAGTCAACTCAATTTTTGGGGTAGGAGCTATCTTATGCGTGATGAGTGATTTTTGTTAACGAATCGGAGACCGTTGGTCCTTTTGATTCTACGAAATCGAGATTACTTGCGAATATTTCCAAAATCGAAGGATCGAAGAAAGGATTTTGCGCCCTCCGGTGATTTTACGAGAATGAGTTTATTGCACGAATCTCATTAATTTATTGTTATATTTAAATTATATATATCTTGTACCGTTTTCGTTGGTCGAAAACAAGTGCAAAATAAAACAAAAATCTATCTACATAAAGGATTTGATATTATTTTTTTAATGAGACATAGATAAATAATTTTTATAAACGCTAATTGACTGAAATATTTATTCTGCGAAATGTTTATTCTTCAATCAGAAAAAATCAAACGATGAAATACTAGTAAACGAAAGCTATAAAGATACAATATGTAGATTTATGTAATAAAAAAGAAAATAAATATACTCTCTTAAATGTATGCGTCATTACATATTGTACATATTTTTTTTTTTATTTTAACTCTCATCGTAATATTACTATAAATGATATAGTAATTTATTTTTTCAACTTGTTACACAATCATGTAATTATCACTTGTTAATCACTCGTTATTCTACAAAAATAATCTTTAGAGGAATTCTGTTCTTTTCGATCGATATAAATTGATTGATTGATATTATCAATTGCGTCTTTATCAACTACCTGAAGAAACCTACTTTCAATTTCATTATTTTTTATCTAATAAAAATATTTCAATCGATTTAAAAATGATCTCCAATTATCGAGAAATCAATTAATACGTATATATATGTAATGATAGATTTTTAGAAATTCTCACGATCGACAGCTTCTGCCTCTTCCGGTTGGATCGCCAAGCTAAACCTACTGAAGACTGAAGCCCATTCACTGATCATGAGCCTGACGTCATCGGGATCCATGCTGGCTGATGGCTTCGTATCTGCGCGCCTGTTTACTCGTTCGTGTGCGTCGTGCGGCTTTATGTATCAGCAACCGTTAGTCGGTAGCATTCGCAAAACACGAGCATGCCAGGATTTGCTGCAGCCATTGGCATTTGATTGCATCACGTACGCACACATCTGCGATGCGATACGACATACCAAGAACACGGATGAATACACGAGTCCTGGTTCGCGCTCTGAGTCCTTGACTCGCGTACTACAAGATGACGAGAAAGAGATGAGCGAACTCGAGATCCGTGAGAGACACGATCTCTCACACTTCCTTGAAGAATCAACATCGCCACTTGGTTCTTTTTGATCCTTTCAGACTCAGTGATTTCATTTGGGAATACTCGGTAATCGATTTCATTTTTTCATCATATTTTTCAATAATTCCTTTTCTGTTCCCAAATACTTTCTATAATTATATTTTAAAATATTCTTGGAAATTTCGAAACTTGTTCTTTCGCATTGTTTTTCTTAATTTTTCTTTGGATAGTTTCAAGCGTAAAGTGGCGCAAACACATCTGTCTATTCATTTATTTTCTTACTACTGTGAATTGATCCAAATTACTGACAATTAGATAAGAGAAAATTGGAATACGGAAAGCGACAGGTCGACATCCTTCGAAGGTTTCTGTGTCGCGCGTATTTTAATGGCAATAGCGGTGTTTCGAAACTCTCTATTTCTTCTCGTCATGAATAAGACTCGCGATTTTTCGTGTCCTCCCAAAAGTAGGCGTCTTTCATTAGCTGCATAAAATCGACTGTTATTATCGCATTAGCGTTCAACTTTTTTATCCGAACACGTTACTCGTGGGCGTCGCGCGATATGACAAATGGCGTCGTTCTATCCAGGCTCTTTACAATGCCGGCATTCCGTCAGTTTTAGAAGGATGGTGCGATTATTGTGCATTACTCGTGGATGCATATTTTTCAGCGCGTCGTAAAAGAGAGACGATCCGAATGAATTAACGATCGATGTGCGTGTGTGCGTAAGTGTGTGCACATTTACCGTTTTTTACAACGTCTGGATCCACATTTCGCAACTACGTCTGAAGGAGATGTTAAAATAACTATTAGCGCCATTTTGACCAAAATTTGACCAAAATTTACCAGGAAGAACTTTTAAATGTAAGACTACGAAATTTCCGAATTATCCCAAGTTGTTATTAATCAATTGCATAAACCTAAATATGTAGATATGTAGAAAATAAATATGCAGATTTTTCAGGATATTCTCCACGAATTCTAAACTATTTTCTTTAGGAAACTAAATAGAAAATTAATTGCAAAGCACAAATGCTAAAATCTACCGAAAACCTATACAATAAAAATGCTACTCATCTTTTTTGATCGCTCTTTTTCACTTAAATTCTCTTATTTTTAATTTTGTTAATTTCATGATTCTATACTTGTGTTTTGCTGTGATTTTATTCTTTTCTACTTATTTTTTTCTCGTCATTTATTCAATATGTGTTCTTGCACACATTGTGTACGAAGCAATAATGTACTGATAAGCGTGCTTGTTTAACGCTAAAAAAAAAGGAAGAAGAATTTAGGCGAAAACAAGCTCGATGAGAAACACTTGGAAGTTAGTCAAGAGTGTTCTCGAATAATCAAAGGTCCTTCAAAAGTATTTTTCGTCTTCGATCGGCGCGGTCAGCGAAAACTCGTCGTCGACCGCCTTCTTTTTTTTCTCTCGAACGCGAGATAGCAAACAGCACTCGTACGGTCACTTTCTTTCAACGATGACGACGTCGTCGGCCAGTCGGTCACGCGCGCTTTTTCGCGCGACGTTCCACATCCTTTGTCCGTGCGCCGTAATTATATGACTTCGCCAGCTTTTCGAACGAGATCATCCGATCAAGACTTTGCGCGGCGCGAAGTCACGCGTGTCAAATTCCGCACGGTCATCCGTCGCCAGCCGCACGTTTTTCTCAAACCGCAAATCGGTCAATATATACAGGGCGTTTCAGAATTATGTCGAAACGTCAGATTATTGCGTATAATGGCTTTATATTGATTTTTAGGTATTCTCAAAGAAACGAGATCTTACATAACCGAAAAAATTTAATGATGCAAAATAAAGTGTCTTTGAATTTGCACTTCTGCAGAATAAAATTTCAACATTTATCCAACTTTCAAATTGCTGAACTTTATTTCTTCATTCGCGACCAGCAAATGATCGTAAAATTTTTCCCGCTGATATCGAATTCATAACTGAATTTCGAAATTTGTCAGGTCACGGCGCGTTTCGGAATATGATTGTCAAAGTACGGATTTGTGGAAGTTACGAGGCGATTGGTGAGAGGAAGACCAGAAGAAAAAAGTCTCACGCATGATTATGACCGGTCGCAGGAACTACGACAGAAGCATTTTGACGCGCATGGCTGGTCTTCGGGCTCAGCTTCGTCAGTTCAAAAACACTTGTCTACTCGTACACACACAACTCGTACATTAATTTTTTGCCTGGCATTGCCTTTTTCGGAAAGATTGATTCGCCGCGTTCAGAGATCGAAAAACGTTGTCCTATATTTCTATAATATCTTTTTAATTGTGCATTCTTCATAGAAATAATTTTTTAAGTTTAGAAATTAAAAAAAGATTTGTCTATCATCGTCTTCTTTGGAAAAAATAATATTTTTCGCAATTGCAAATTTAAAATCTAGACTAACCAATTAAAAAAAATTATATAAATCTTCTACATACTTGATGTAAAATTTTTTACATTGAAAAATAATGAAATAATAATTTATGATGATGCATTTTCTGACGTTAATTGATTACACAGTTGTGACAAGAGATTAATTAATTAATTTTAAATAAACATTTTGCTTTAGCATGATAGGGAAACGAACGATTTAACTCGATAGCTTTAAATGACTATGCGCAATCCAAAATCGCACAGAATGACGTTTTAAGAAAATCGTTCGGCACTCAATGCGTTTAGGTGACTCTTTTAGCGAAACAATACGAGCGGCTCAACGAAAGCAACATGTCGACACAAAGGTGGCATGTACGAATACATACATGCGGATGAGCCGTCACTTCGGGTACACGCTTTCTCAGTGCACGGCATCGCGCGAGTTATCAATTTGCGCGCGGATGCAGATCAGACCGACGACAGAACGTTCGTTCGCTCGTTGTTCATCAAGTTGAGACAAGAAGATGAGAGATAAGGTAAAAAAAAAAAGAAAGCTTTTTCGCGCCGTGAGTCTCGTTTCAATGAAAAGAAACTGTTGCATTTACGTCGCTCAATTCGTATCGATAAAAAAAATAACGTGTTCTTTTAACCTTTTGAAAGTGTCAAGCAGCGAGACAGCGTTTCTTTCGTTTTAGCCTAAGTGCGCGTGGATTCTACCGTAATTAAATTTATTTTTGGTTATCATTGTTTCAATACAACAAATTAATTTTAAAAAAATAGAGAATAGAGTAAAGAAAATATTAAAAAATGTACATATTTATTTATCTAATATAACATTTAAAAAATGTATATTACAAACAACAAACTCTTTTGGATAATTAGTATGTTAAATATTTTCGCAATTTATGCTTGTCAAGGCATAATGCAAAAGATCTTTCTTACATTGCGCACAAATTAAATTTGATCTTTTGATGTGATTATCATTATTAGTACAGACTATATATTGTTTTAAATTACGCCCTGGTAATTTTATTAAATCGTTTTTTTCTGCTTTTTTAGAAATTAATTTTTCTATTCTTGCATTTAATCCCGTTTTATTTTGGCAATAATATTTGACGTGAATTTAAAACGCGATATTTTTTGTTACTGCAGTTTTCTTACAGACAATATACGAATTTATCAACAACATTTTTGTTAAAATATTAATAAATATTTTACAACAGTATTTTAAAATCTGATGTTTATCTAGATAGAAAATAAACCGACTTACCGGCACGATGCGCAGCAGCGGAGTTGTTGGTCTGCAAAGTTGATCTGTAAAATACAAAAGAACATCCAAATTATAGCAACGTATAAAATAATTAGTAGGTATCTGAAAAATATTTGCGCACATTGAACTTTTTATTTGTCTTACAAACAAAAACCTATAGCTTACAACAAAAACAAATAGCTAATAAAAGAATTATCAAAAATTTAATTGTTTAAAATAATAATAAATATGTAAAATTATTTATACAACAATTATAAATATTAAATATTGTAAATGTTTTACTGAAAATTTCAAATATCTTATGTGAAACATTTTTGCAATTAATATGTAATAATTAAACTATAAATACCGTGAAGTTGCTCCGCCGACGTTCGATGCCCCATTCTGAGCCTGCTCCTCCGCTCTCAGTACAGGAACACGATTCACTCGCGATTCATTTGTGATTATTTGCATTTATTCGCGAAAACTCGATTAAATATTATCGCGCGACATTTTGTACGGCATTCCCGATGCGTACTTTGTTACATGAGAACAAAGATAATACTCGGATATCTTACGGATACGTTCGACACTCTGTAGAAAACGACGGAAGAAAATTTGTGAAAAATGATT